CAATTAACCAAGCGAAAACAAATTCTAGTTTCTAACCAGTACGTAGAGTGGAAGCGATCCTAGTTTCTAAGACACTCTTCTTATGGTATTTAATAACCTTTACATTAAATATTCTATGTTCTCATATTCTCTCATAAACTTGAATTAATTCTCACCCTATATTTATAAGTAGTATATGCGATATTCTTTTTTTAATAGGATTCCTATTGTAATTCCTAATAGGATTCCTAAATTATATTCATATTTATAATAGTATTCTTTATTAAATAGTTTTTTTAAATATATACAATTTCATATGAAACAAATAGAAAAGCGAACCATAAATATCCCAATACTTAGAAAGATTCAGGGAAGAAAAAGAAAATGTATAATGGTAACTTTGACGAGTATAATATGCCAAAATCCTTGGACCAAGTACTTGACAGTACTTACGAAACATAAATGCCTTGTCCTATGAATATATATTTGAGCGAGGTATTTGACGTTTTGTTATATATAATACTTTTAAATAGAAGAATTTGCAGATTGTAACACGTGGTAAGACGCCAACCACACTTGCCAGACTTGGGAAACTAGAAGCATATTAGGCTTCAGCTGCTTCAAGCGGTGCAAACAAATGCAGTGATGATAGTTATGCAGTGAGTTAGCATAACAACAAGGCTAACACTCAATTATACTTTTAGAATCGATAAGCAAGTTATAATCACAGAAAGTTAAATCATAAATTTTAAAGTAAAATCTAAATAATTATTTTATAATTTCCAAAAATGAATAAGATGTTTATATAAGGTGGTGACAGTCAACCCTAACAAGACTCCCAATAAATAAGGAAATAAAATCCAAATTAATTAAAAAAAGAAATCCTAAATAAAAATAGGAAAAAACGTTGGAAAACTTAAATGGCCCCGAGACACGCCAAAACAGTTTATTTTGAACCCAAAAACGACCTCCAACCGAGATACTAGGATGTCATATCATTGCACTCGAAACGAGTTTTCCGTTGATATATTATGGGCCCCGTAACTCCTCTTAGATCAAAAAATTATGGCTATTTCAAGTTGGTCTGCCTGTGTTTGGGCTTCTAACGCTCCACCCTTTCTAGGAATTCATCTGCTGGACTTTCTAAATCATATAGGTAAATGGAGTCAAGTAATAGCAAAAACAGGAAGAGATATTCTTTCCTGTCTTTGGTCTTTTTCTTATCAGATTTAAAACATAATCACCCTTAAAACATAAGAAATAGGAATCAGCCACAAATCATCTTTTCTTCGGACTGTCACACTAAAGGCCTCAGTCATGTCCAAATCATCATTCCTCATTCCATTGGGAAGTTTCCAGTCAAAATGATACAACAACATTGCGAGTGGAAGCTCAACATTTGCCATTCCATATGACATTCCTGGACAAATCCTCCTACCAGCCCCAAATGGGATGTATTCGAAATTTGTCCCCTTAAAGTCAATACAACAATCAAGAAACCTCTCCGGAGTAAAGCACTCAGGTTCACTCCAATATTCTGGATCTCTTCCAATCGCCCATGCATTAACAATGACTCTGGTTTTGATGGGTATGTCAAATCCATTAATCACACATCTCTCTCTACATTCTTCTGGTATTAACAAAGGAGCAGGAGGATGTAGTCTCAGAGTCTCTTTTATCACCTGCTTTAAGAATTTCATTTCCTCAATGCTAGTTTCATCGATCTTGCCTTTCCTATTAAAGACGTTCCTCACTTCAGCTTGTGCCTTCTCCAGCACTCTTGTATTTATTAGCATTTCAGACATTGCCCAATCTATAGTTGTGGCAGATGTTTCACCAGCAGCACCAAAAATGTCCTGAAATAAAACAGGGCATTGAGGTATGGAAAGTGATTTGGTTTGAATTTTACTTTTACCAATGGAATCATGAGAAAATTGCACAAGCAGGTAAGGTACTTACCAGGATAACTGCTTTGATGTTGTCGATAGTTGAGGGAAATTCAAGTTCGCCATGTTCTTGAACTTTCAAAAGAACATCAATCAGATCCTCAGCGTATTTTCTCAACAATTCTGTCAGCTTCTTTGTGCAACTTCTCTATTTTAGACTTGATGCCAGTAATTGATTGAAGCAATTCAATGGAAGGATACAGATCTGCAATATTGAAACCTGCCGCCAGTTGTGCGGTTTCATTGATTACTGATATGAGCAATTCCTGATCTTTGGATTTGTTGCCAAAGGCTGCCCTGGAATTGATGCCATATATTAATGAATAAACTTTATCCGTATGATTAATCAATTCTGATTCCGCATTTGAAGCAATCCAATTCATGAGACTGGACACCTCTTCCTCTCTTATCAATCGGAAAGACTGTACTCGTTTTGCTCTTAAAAGCTCCAACGTAAAAAAATTTCGTGGCTGCCTCCAATACTCATTATACGGTGAAAATACCATATCAGTAGAATCATAGGCCATGATTTTTGTTACCAGAATCTCAGACCTTGATGCAAAAGGTAACATCATGGGTTTTCATTACCTCTTTTGCATATTCCGGAGAAGAAATAATAACAGTGGAAACTTCGCCGAGCTGCAGGAGCATAAGGGGACCGTATTTCCTGGCCAAGTCTCTTTGTCTGTGATGGGCTGGTGCAAATTTCCAATTAGAGGTAATTTCAATGGCCCTGGAGGCAAATGTAAAGTTTTGTTACTGGTTTTGGATCTCTTCCCTATACTCAGCACCATGAAGAGAAAGAGAAAAAAGGTGAGAAGGATTGAGAAGGTGGACAATTCAAGGTCCATGAAAAAATTAGAGGTAGAGACTGTTAGATTTAGAGCTTTGTTGACCTTGATTTTAGTACTATTCAGAACTAATGATTAGCTGGAACCTGGAAGCATCTACCAGGATGGTTTTATTTACAATAATTACATTCTATGAAATAGTTGATGGAGTTTTTAATCATCACGTTTAGGATCATAACAAACTAATGGTAATATTTTAATTACATTTTGCAAATAAGCTGTACGAATCTCCAGATAGCTTGTCCCAACTCTGGGAAATAAAGAAAAAGCAGAGCACATGCAAAAGCTGCTAATTAACTGTCCTGGAAGCTGAAGAAATGAAGAAATAATTAATGAAGAGAAGACTAAGACCATGTATGGAAATTAAACACTGGTTAGTTGCTTCCATGTAGAAGCTTTGAACCTTTTTCAGATCCGTATTTTCTGGAAATTGAACACCAGAATAATGCTATAGTACTTCCACACTTATAAAAGTATGTTGATCATTCCAAATTAATTTCTAAATATGAATGCTTTGTTAGGAAGTTGATAAACCTAATTTACAGCATAAATTTGGAATAAGAGAACCAAGTGTGAAAACAATAATAATGAAATAACGGACACGAGATTTTTGTGGTAAAACCATCAATTGATTATGAGAGAAACATCCCCTAGGCAAAGACACACAATAACAAAGCAGGAAAGTAAGGAGGACACACAATTTACCCTGATTTGTTCTCAATATAGGAACTACTTCTAACATTCAAGATAGAGAAGATTTTATTGAGTCTTAGTAATCTGCAGAAATACAATAGTAGTGACGATAGTTCACTCTTTCTCTCCTCTCTCTCAATATTTTGTCACATTAGGTTTTTTCCTATCACAAAATGCATATAATAGTAAATCTTACCCCATTTTGACTACCCCGATCTAACTCGACCCAGGTCCAAATATTTGCAAAGCAATTTTAAACCCAATTACTAATTAGGCTTACCGTGAAGAGGGCATTGCCCCCTCATCCTGCCCACGAATGCATCGGCATAAGCCGATAATCTGTTAAGATCATGCAAAGTATGAACCATATCCAACACTCTCATAAGTGAGGAAAGACAATTTGTGGAAATACAAAAGAAAGGAAAGGCTGGTGTATTTTGTATGTGTTTGGGTGGTGGATGTTGTGATAGAATCGGAGAAATGAATCATGGTATGTATAGGAAACCCTCCAAATCAATAGTAAATTTACCACATTCACATTTCTAAGGTCAAAAATTACAACCGTTAAATGCCTCCACATACTTTTTGGTCATAGTCTCTTGTCACCCCTAAGTTACCTAGCCCACTGACTTTTCTACTCAAAATTAATTATCATCACTACTTGTTTTCAACCATCCAAATCTTGTGTCAAAGATTCTAAGCTAATTAATTATCATGCCCAAATCCTTTGTTCAACGATTGTAGGCCAAGTAATTACCAAGCATGCTTTTAAGGTCAACAAATGAGGCATTTGGTAGGCAGGATGACATTTAAAAATTCATTTTTCAAGATTGAGCCTATGCAACAGGCCATGGATGATGGTAATTTATTTATTATTACATCCATTCAGAAGCAGCTGGAGCAATTTTTATGATTCCCTAAATCACAGAGTTTTCTGAATAATTGAAAACCTTAGGAACATAGTATTATTTACCCTTTTTCTTCCAGCACGGTTATGCAGCTGTTGAAGGATGATAAGGAACAGGAATGATGTAAAGATCCTTTTTCCTTCTTACTGCTGAACCAAATTTCTCTGTCATATCCAAATCTTCAGGTTTCATTCATTTGGAAGTTTCCAATCAAAATGATATAATAACATTGCTAGGGGAAGCTCAGTGTCAGGAAGACCAAATGACATTCCTGGACACATTCCCCTACCAGGACCAAATATTTGTTCAAAATTAGTCCGCTTAAAGTCAACAGAACAATCCAGAAACCTCTCTAGACTAAAGCTCTCAGGTTCACTCAATATTTTGGATCTCTTCCATTAATCACACATCTCTCACCACATTCTCTTGGAATCAATAAAGGAACAGCAGAATGCAGTCTCAGAGTCTCTTTTATCACTAACTTTAAGAATTTCATTTCATCAATGCCGGCTTCATCGATTTTGCCTTTTCTATTAAACACTTCCCTCACCTCAGCTTGTGCCTTTTCCATCACTTTTTTATTTTTCATCATTTCAGCCGTCGCCAGTTTACAGTTATAGCAGATGTCTCACTACCAGCACCAAAAATTTCCTGAAGATAAGAGCAAAGTGACTCCAATTATACCACCAATGAAGAACAACCATGAACATAGTAATTAAAGAATTGAAAGTATTTACTTTAATTTCGAACCACAGGAGTATGATCTATAACCTTCTAGGAGGTTTTAGGAAATATCTCCTAGACTCTATTGAATAGAAGTCTATATTTCAAGTCTGAAACAAATGACTCAAGCCCTAAACACTTGTAAGATAATTTCTTTAACAGATAGGAGTATCTCATCTCATTACAGCTCAATCCAATATTATTATTGCAGTCAATCTCAATATGCAATTCTGCTTATGTTCCTGGCTATACTACCTTAAAAGAAATTAACTATTTTTAAGAGTAATCTATCGATATATGCACTACAGATTTTCTGGCCAAAGTCATCACAGTAGTATAAAGAAATTAAGGATGAAGTCAACCGAAACTGGATGCCAAATTACGGATGGAGGAATCATCTTGTCGGCCAGTCTTCACTGCGCTTGAGCCTAAGTTTTAATGCGCTAGAAAGAATATTGTAACAAAGTATAGAAAATACAATAGTCTCTTGTATCATCATGAACATGGATGATCAATAACTGGTCTTCGTGGGTAAGTGAGAATTTCAAGAATGCATTGACCAAATAAGTCGTTGCTCAAGTCACGAGATGATGCGCTGAGTGGAACCAGCAATTATTTTTCTCATATTAAGTTTTCCTATTGGCATAATAAATAATCCCTCTATTATCAAATCAATTAAAAATTATATGAAAAAGCATGATGATAAATATTGTATCATCTTTCATGACCCATTTTCCCTAAAATTGATTATCAGATAATTAGTGCTTTCACTTTCTATAACCAGTAGTTTTCCCATGTTCATGGATTATAGTGCTAAGCGGCACCGTGGATTACCACCAATTTAACACAAATGGAATAGCATAAATAACAACCACTGAGTGATCTGATGATGAAAGAGTAAAAGAGGTTCCATGAGCTCTTGAATTCAAGTCCCCCCAGACACTAATAAAGATGACTACTGGGGCTCTCACCCGATCGACAATTCTAGGGTTTAGGGGATTAGTTGAGGTGCACACAAGCTTGCTCAATAATCTCCGGTGATTAAAACAATAATTGGAGATAGTCAAGGTCTAATATTGGTGTTAACGCTTTGGGTATAACTACACCTTCAAAGAGCATCAAAATCCTGAAAGACTATTTTGTTTGCAAGGAGTTTTTATATATACATTTATTTCACATTCATTTCTCCTCAACAAAGATATTCGAATTATCTTTTCTTTCATTTCTGAGAAAGAAAAATATGTGGGGTTTGCCGTGGAAATATCTAGTCCTCTGCCTCCTCTTCTTATTTTTGCATCTACAAGCTATTTTCTCAGTTACTTCTAACTGTTCTTCTCCATCACCACAACTTTGCTCTTCTAACCAAAGTTTTGTGTTACTTCATTTCAAGAATGCCTTTTTAATTCACAACTCTGCCTCTATTCACTGCAGTAATTTTGATTCTTTTTCTAAAACAGAGTCTTGGAAGCTGGGTAGTGATTGCTGCTCCTGGGATGGGGTCACTTGTGATCGATTAACAGGTCATGTGATCGGTCTCGACCTTAGTTCTAGTCAGCTGATTGGCAAAATCCATGTCAACAGTAGCATCTTCCTTCTTCATCATATCCGGAGCCTCAATCTTGCTTGTTATGATTTCATGTTTTCCGAAATCTCTTCCAATTTTGCACAGTTCACAAAATTGATACATCTTAACCTTTCTTCATCTAATTTCTCTGGATTAGTTCCAAGTGAAATTTCTCACCTCTCCAAGCTGGGTTCACTTGATCTCTCTGACAATAATGCTGGTCACGGACTGGAAATTGGCCAACATTGTTTTAATAAGATCTTGCAAAACCTCACAGAAGTAAGATATCTTCTTCTTGACAATGTGAACATGTCTTCTGTTGTGCCCGGTTTCTTGGTGAATTTCTCTTCTTTGATATCTCTGAGTCTTAGTAATACTCAGCTGCGACACGAGTTCCCGAATGGTGTTTTCCGCCTTCCATTTCTTCAGCAGCTAAGTTTGTCTAGAAACGGAGGTCTCATAGGCAATTTACCAGAGTCTAACTGGAGCAGTCCCTTGAGGTTGTTAGATCAATCTTTAACAAAATTTTCAGGAATATTACCTGAAACAATCGGAGATCTTATACACTTGAATGTGTTAGATTTTCTTATTGCAAATTCACGGATTCAATTCCAAGATCATTTGGAACCTCACAGGTATCACCATTTTGGATTTGACATTCAACAATTTTACTGGCCAAGTCCTAATTGGTATCTAACCTCAGGAAGCTCACTCGTCTATCATTTGCACACAACAGTTTTTCCGGACAATTTCCAGATGTTTTGGGCAACCTCAGCAAAGTGATTGAAATATATCTCTTTGATAACAATTTTAGTGGTCAACTGCCATTATCAGCATTCAATCTCACTCAGGTTTCTCATTTACACTTTTCACACAATGAATTTGTGGGTCATCTTCCTTATCAAGTAAGTGGCCATTCATCTCTATCCATTCTCAAATTATCTAATAATTTTCTGATTGGAAGAGTGCCGTCTTGGTTGTTTATTTTGCCATCTTTGCAATATTTAGACCTTAGAAACAACAAGTTCACTGGTCCAATTCCGAATCCCATATTTCAACCTTTGAATCTTTCTTTACTTGATCTTTCATCAATAACCTCACTGGCATTGTTAGTCTGAACTTTTCAAAGTTCAAAAACCTGGAAGTTATGGATCTTTCAAATACAGTCTACTGTCACTAAGAACCCAAACCAACGTCAACTCTATGTTGCCCAGGCTCAAAGTTTTCGGATTCTCTTCCTGCAACATAACCGAATTCCCTGTTTCCTGAGAACCTCAACAGAATTGATGATTTTAGACCTTTCCTATAACAAAATTTCTGGTAGAATTTCCAACGGGAGACAGGGTCGTGGGTACAAATTGCAATATCTGGATCTTTCTCACAATTTGTTGACAATTTTCAGTATAGATCGGCAAAGATCTAAATTTCTTGATCTTCATTCCAACTTGCTTCAAGGACCCCTTTTGCTTCTACCACCTTCCAGGAAATGCTTCTCAGTTTCAAACAATAAATTGACAGGAGAGACCGCTTCATTGCCTTGTAGTTTGGGCACTATTGAGCATCTGAACTTGAGTAGGAGTCCACAATGTCTTGAAACCATGACAAGATCTTCCTACTGGATCTTACGATGAACAGTGCTTTGACAACTCTCAACTTAAATGCCAATCAGTTGGAGGGAACATTGCCACAATCTTTGGCTAAATGTAACAGCTTGGAAGTTCTAGACGTCGGAAATACAGGATTAATGATACATTTCCTTACTGGTTAGCCACTCTTCCAAAACTACAAGTTCTTATGTTGAGATCGAATAGTTTCACCGGTCATTCGCCATTTGAATACAAGATGTCCATTCCCAATGTTGCGAATACTTGATCTTCTCATAATAGATTCATTGGCAATTTGCCAACATCAATCTTAAAAATTTAAGGCTATGATGAACAGGGATATAGCAGTGGGGCAGCGCAATATATGGGCTCACATGGTCATATTATTCTACAGTTTTGACAGTGAAAGGAATTGATGTTGAAATGGTGAGAATCCTAACCATTTAACGATATGATTTGTCAAACAACCAATTCCAGGACGAATACCAGATATTGTTGGAAAGCTTAATTCACTCTTTTTTCTCAATTTTTCTCACAATTCCTAACCGGTCATATTCCATCATCATTTGGAAATTTAAGGAGCTTAAGCTTTAGATCTCTCTTCTAACAAGCTTGTAGGAGAAGTCCCTAGAGAATGACAAATTCACATTTCTTTCAATGTTAAATCTTTCAGACAACCAACTTGAGGGATCTATACCTCAAGGAAAGCATTTGATACATTTCAAAATGATTCTTATTTAGGAGGAAACTTGGGGTTGTGTGGATTCCATTGTCAAAAAATGTGTCATGAATGAAGTGCCTAAACCAATTTTGGTCTCGAAAGAACACAATGTCTTGAACAGGTTTGACTGGAAAATCAGTTTGATGGGATATGGATGTGGATTGGTGCTCGTTGGCCATGGGATTATTGTATTCTCAACAGGAAAACCACAGTGGTTTGTAAGGATGGTTGAAAGAGACCGACCCAAGAAAGCTAGGAGGCCAAACAGAAGATATGGATACAGAAGATAAGAAACTGGTAACTGAATTGCTGTCCAAGTTAATTTGGTGAGTGCTCCAATCTTCTTTATTAGAATAACTTCAAATGCATATATATTTTTTTTCCAACTAAGTTTGAGATATGTGGTACACTAACTTACATACTGAATTGTTAAACTCCCCTTCCTGTTCACTTTTCAGATTTACTTGTCGAGCTGAAATTCGCATCTGTCGGGTGATAGATCTGGCAATTCACAAACTGGTCATGTCAGTCATACATATAGCAATTCCATTTCATTGATCAGCATTATGCCAATTGGAATTCAAGTCATGGAAGCAGAAGATGCTTAATCTGTGAAATATTTAGACTTTCATATATATTTGTTATCCACAGAGATTGATTAATTAATGTTCAAAAAAAGGCTTTGATTAAGCTGAGTTTCTGTTTGTTTGTAGATTTTGAATTTTAATTTGAGATTAAGAAATAGTGCGGAAACTTAAATACCTTCATGCCAGTCTTTTGAATGCTAGATATGGATAACAGTGACCGTATATTATTCATGAAATAAATCCGAGCGGTTCAGGTGGGCAATGAGTTAATTTAATAGCTGTCTTGAATCTCTTGAAATCAAAGCAAGTGGGAACTCGGTTGTAACTGTTGGCATATATTTCCAAGCCACTTATCTTCTTTTTTCTAACGCCCCCAATCAGCTGCATTAACTACGGGGTCAAGTCTTTGTCGCAGAAGACCCAGACTTTCATCTTCTGAAATAACAAAAAGTCCTGCTATCTCAACCCAAACTAAACGGATAATCTTTCTGCGACTTTAGTCTTGACAGGTATTTGGCACCCGAAAATGTCACAGCTCTTCCTACATTTCTTGGAAGTAATAGAAGACCAGGAGGATGTAACTTACCCAACCGGCCCCAATAAAAGCAGGTCCCATGGTGGTCACCTCATGGAACATTTGCCCAAGAGAGGCGTTTACTTGACAAAAAGCATTCTATGACAAGTGAAACTAAATTATATTTCCAACTAAATATAGCGAATGTATACATCTTGAGTTGGGGCAGGATTATTGTAGTTTATGGCCCTACAATTACGTGTTGAAAACTCTTAGTTGACCGAAATAAGTCTTTGCCGTCAGGCTCCGAGAAAAAGACTACTGACTAAAAACAACGTGTTGTTTTTTATATATTTTTTCTTCTCAAATTAGAATTTTTTTTTTTGGTAAATCCTCCTTTTTATGACAGATTTTTTTTTGTTCTGTTGATTACAAAAACTTACATTACCGTATTAAAGAAGGTGATAGTCACTCACCATGTAGTAGGCAACAAGCTTATTGATAAAATGGATTTGAGTAGAACTCAACTCCAAAAACTAGTTCAAAGAGAGAGAGCCCTGTGTAGTAGGAACAATCTAGTTGATAAGTGGCGTGTAGGAGAGAGCCCACTTATGGCGATGTGGGACAAATTCAACTTTAACTACTTAGTTGGACCCCACTTGCATGTGTAAATAAATGCATAAAAGGAAGGAAGAAAATGCAGAGGATGTGTGTATATTATCTACATGTTCATATTCATTTTCCCATATCCAAAATTTGCTTTTGCTCTTCTTGGAAGAAAAAGAGTGGGGTTTATTATCCAGTCCTCTGCCTCTTCTTCTTGCTCTTCCATCTTCAAGTTATTTCTCATCCTCTTTTAACTCTTCTTCTCCATTACAGAAACTCTGCTCTCCTGAACAAAGCTCTGCCTTCTCCGTTTCAAGAAACTTTACCATTAATGAGTATTCAAGTTTTCTAAGACAGATTCCTGGAAAGAGGGTAGTGATTGCTGCACTTGGGATGGGGTTACTTGTGATAGGTTCACCGTCATGTGATTGGACTTGACTTAAGTTTCTGTGGACTTATTGGTCCTATCAACGACAGTAGCAGCCTCTTCAACCTGCACCATCTCCAGAAGCTAATCAGCTGACAATATTTTCGATCATCCACCATCTCACCCAAGTTTGGTCAGTTCACCAAATTGACACTCTGAACCTTCTTCATCAATTTCTATGGCCTAGTTCCAACCGAAATTTCACTTATCTAAGCTTGTTTTGCTTCACCTTTCTTCTGACTTTGATTATCTGAAACTGCGTCAACAAGGTTTTAAAAACCTCTTGCAAAACCTGACAGAACTAAGATATCTTCATCTGGAGAATGTCGACATGTCTTCTGTTGCAGTTGGTTCTTTTGTAAACCTGTCTTCTTCTTTGATATCTCTGAGTCTTCAGAGTAATTACATGCAAGGCAAGTTTCCAAATGATCTTTTCCGATTTCCATTTCTCCAACTGCTCAGATTGTCTGACAATCAAAACATAACGGTTAATTTGCCAAATTTCAACAGGAGCAATCCTCTTAAATTATTGGATCTCTCTTCCACAAACTTTTCAGGGAAATTACCCGACACAATCGGCAATCTGATGCACTTGAATCATTTGCGTCTAAGTGGATGCAATCGAAGGGTCAATTCCGCCGTCACTTGAAAAACTTACTGAAATCACTTTTTTGGATCTATCATTCAACAGTTTTACTGGTCAAATACCAACATCAATATCTAAACTTGGCCAACTCACTCATCTTTGTCTTCGAGACAACAAATTTCTGGGTCATTTCCACCGTCACTTGAAAACCTTACTGAAATCACTTTTTTGGATCTGTCATCCAACGGTTTTACTGGTCAAATACAACATGGATATCTAAACTTGGCAGCTCACTGAACTTCATCTTGGAGACAATAAATTTTCTGGGTCATTTCCTCCATCACTCGAAAACCTTACTGAAATCATCTATTTGGGTCTGTCATCCAACGGTTTAACTGGTCAAATACCAACATGGATATCTAAACTTGGCCAGCTCACTGAACTTCATCTTGGAGACAAATATTTCTGGGTCATTTCCTCCGTCACTCGAAAACCTTACTGAAATCATTTATTTGCGTCTGTCATCCAACGGTTTTACTGGTCAAATACCACATCAATATCTAAACTTGGCCAGCTCACTCATCTATCTTGGAGACAACAATTTTTTGGGTCAATTCCTCCGTCACTTGAAAACCTTACTAAAATCATTTTTTTGGATCTGTCATCCAACGGTTTTACTTGTCAAATACCAACATCAATATTAAACTTGGCCAGCTCAATTTTTTGGATTTGTCATCCAACAATTATATAGGAGTCATCCGCCCGTCATTTTGCAATTTGATCTATATTTTGTATATGACTTATCAAATAACATTTTAGTGGAAAAATTACCGTGTTTCGGAAACTTTAGTACGCGCCTCTATTTCCTGAATTTGGAGGTGAACAATTTCCATGGTAGCCTTGGATCTCTAACATTTCCAACTCCCAGTAGTTTGACGGCTCTTATGCTTAATGGCAATCAATTGGAGGGACCATTACCTCCATCTTTGATTAATTGTAACCTTTTGAAAATCCTATGTGGGGAATAAATGATTAATGATACCTTCCCCTACTCTCTAGAAGATCTTGAAAACCTTCGTGTTATTATTTTGAGATCTAATCGTTTCATGGTCCCATTACAATTCAGTGCAACATTCCTTCCCTGGTTTGAGAATACTCGACCTTTCCACAATCAATTTACTGGTCCTTTGCCAGTAAATTATTTTAACATTTTGTGGCTATGATGCCTTCGTCATGGATGATATTGAAGTCAGTATATGGAGTATCTTGATGGCAAATATATTCAGTAACTTTGTCAATCAAAGGAGTTGAAATGGAAATGGACAGGATTCTAACCATTCTCACAGCAATAGATTTGTCCGACAACCTGTTTGAAGGACCAATTCCAGAGGTGTTGGAAAGCTACAGTTACTCAAACTGCTCAACTTCTCTCACAATAGCTTAACTGGTGATATACCATCGTCATTGGCAAATTTGACACAACTTGAAGCATTAGATCTCTCTTACAACAAGCTCGTTGGAAAATTCCAATGCAATTGACAAGTCTAACATTTCTTTCAGTGCTAAACTTGTCATACAATCAGTTTGTGGGACTATACCTCAAGGAAAGCAATTTGATGCATTTCCAAACGATTCCTTTATTGGAAACTTGGGTTTGTGTGGATCACGTTGTCAAAAAAATGCAGCAATGATACGGCCAAGTCCATCAACCATCAATGGTCCTTGAAGAAAACAATGCTTCAAGCTGGTTTGATTGGAAAATTGCCTTGATGGGATACGGATGTGGATTGGTACTTGGCATATCTATTGGTTACATTGTGTTCTAACAGGTAACCACAATGGTTGTGAGATTGTATGAAAGAGAGGGTGGTCCGAAAAAGGTAGAAGTCTGAATGGGGAAGTAGAGGAAGAGAAATTAGCATCGAAAGTTGCTCTTCAATTTTGTAAGTGCTCTAATCCTCTTGTAGCTAAAAATTGGTTTTCTTCCTGACAGCTTATCATAATGAACACGGCTAGAAAAGAGTCCTTGAATTCATATTTAATCCAACAATTTTGAGATTATCACACTTTGTTTTTTTTCAGAGACTTGGAAGAGTTGATAACATGGAAGAGTAGTATTTGGGAGCTGGATAAGCTGCTATGTCTGTCTCTGAGTAATCTTCAATCTTCGTATTCTAAATTCCGTGTGAGATTGAGAATTAGAATTGCCATAACTATGTTGCAAGATATGTTAATTTCGAAGAATTCCAATTCAATAAAGTTCTTAATTTCCCTCTCTAGCCTTGGATCATTGAAAACTCAACTTATTTGTACTGCCTACTGCAAATTTCGGAAAATGGGTACTGGAATACCTTTCCCCCAGTATTGTTACTGTTAAAGATGTACTTAAATTCACATAGCATGTTTCAAGAGCCACAAGATGGAGTTTGTTTCCATGTTCAGTAGGTCTTTTAAAGGCCAGGGCTGTAGCGGAAACTTTCCAAGTCCTTGCATTCTAAGAAATCAGTTAATGAAGTATTGTTCATTTTGGGCCTACGCAGGCCCGTATGGTTCATTTTGGGTTTCACAACAAGTTTATCTAGCTTTGTTCCACAATTGGGACGACTGACTTCAAGTATTTTAATCATGAAGGTTGTTTCGTCAACCTTTCCTTTAATACAGAGGACTTTCCTCACTTGTACTAGTGCCTTTTCCATAACTTTTTTCATTTTTCAAGATTAAAACATTATGCCGCACAAGCAACGGAAGCCACTAATGGTTCATTACCCTACTGATTTAGTCGTCAATTTTGGAGAAAGGAAACATCTCAGCTGTCACTGTTAGGAGATCGGATAGCAAAAAAAAACATACACTTGAGATTAATAACATAGGAATAAAATCACACCACACAAAAAGATACAACTTTATGTGGTTCAGTATAACCAGTCTACATCCATACACATGATATACAAGAGTACACAATATCATAAACTCAATACATAATTAATAGAACAGAAACAATCTCAGTTTTTAAGACACTCTACCCATGATGTTTAATAACCCTTACATCAAATACTTTGTATTCTCATATTATCTCATAACTTTAAATTGGTTCTCACTTTTATATTTATAGGTAAGATATAAGATATTCCATTTGTAATAGAATTCATATTTAAATTCCTAATAAGATTTCTAAATTATACTCTTATTTATAATTGTATTCTTTATTGAATAGTTTTTCTAAAAACATATAATTTCACATGAGAACAAGCACGAAAGTTAGCCACAATATCCCAATAATAACACCCCAAACTTGACATACAGTAAATGTACCACTCCCTAACAATTCAACTTAGCCTTACAATTATTGATACTTAACAAAAAAACTCCCAGATAAAAAACTTATTAAGAACTGCAATTTTAAAAACCTTACAAATTATACCACTCCAAAACCTTAAAGTTTAAACACAAATGAAACTAAATCCAGCAAGAAATTAACCTAATATTGGCCGCAATTAAATCCCTATGGAGAGATATTACAGTACTGAATAAGGTCATAGCTCAATTGATATTACCTCCGCACCATTAAATTTTTTACTCTTATATTCCCTTATACATTATTTCTTATTACAACAAATTACACGCTTATATATCGGCTTGTGGCCAAATGGCAAGCCCTTTAGCCACTGGGTTAGCAATACTCAAAGGCTTTATATTCGAGTAAGAGGAGAGGCACCTATTACAATTGTGCAATTTTCTTGGTTCATTGGGCTTGTAAAGTGTTCCATAGCCTTGAGGATTAGGCGAGCTCGACCGGCAAGTGTACTCGGATACCTTAGTTATTAAAAAAAATAACAAATAAAATAAATAAAGTTACATCGCTTCTATCTCTTATTTATTGATATCTTCTAGACCACATTAAATATTTAGTACAAGCCACAACATGTAACTTCTGAAGCAAACTAATATGCAGATCTATAACAGCATATAATTTCTCCAATTAGCAAGGAGACACAGGATGATAAGGAACTGGAACTAATTCAAGGTCCTTTTTTCTTCGCACTGCGAGACCAAAACCCTCACTCATGTCAAGATCTTCTAGCTTTTCTCCACTGGGAAGTTTCCAATCAAAATGATATAGCAACTGGGCCAATGGAAGCTCCACATTGGCTACACCCATTGTTATGCCAGGACAAACTCTCCTTCCAGCTCCAAATGGGATGAATTCAAAATGAGCCCCCTTGTAATCAATTGAACTGTCTAGAAATCTCTCAGGATAGTACTACGAATTGTGTAAAATCTCCCTTCCTGTCACTTTTCAGATTTTACTGTCGAGCTGAAATTCGCATCTGTCCTGGGTGATGGATCTGGCAATTCAACAAACTGGTAGTCAGTCATACATATAGCAATTCCATTTCATTGATCAGCATTATGCCAATTGGAATTCAAGTCATGGAAGCAGAAGATGCTAATCTGTGAAATATTTAGACTTTCATATATATTTTGTTATCCATCAGAGATTGATTAATTAATGTTCAAAAAAAGGCTTTGATTAAGTGAGTTTCGTTGTGTTGTAGATTTTGAATTTTAATTTGAGATTAAGAAATAGTGCGGAAACTTAAATACCTCTATGGCCAGTCTTGAATGCTAGATATGGAATAACAGTGACCGTATATATATTCATGAAATAAATCCGAGCGGTTCAGGTGGGCAATGGGTTAATTTAATAGCTGTCTGAATCTCTTGAAATCAAAGCAAGTGGGAACTCGGTTGTAACTGTTGGCATATATTTCCAAGCCACTTTATTTCTTTTTCTAACGCCCCCAATCAGCTGCATTAACTACGGGGTCAGTCTTTGTCGCAGAAGACCAGACATCTTCATCTTCGATAATAACAAAAAGCTGCTATCTCAACCCAAACTCTAACAGGATAATCTTTCTGCGACTTTAGTCTTGACAGGTATTTGGCACGAAAATGTCACAGCGCCTCTTCCTACATTTCTTGGAAGGATTAGAAGACCGGAGGATGTATACCCAAACCGCCGCCCAATAAAAGCAGGTCCATGGTGGTCGACCTCATGGAACATTTTGCCCCAAGAGAGGCGTTTACTTGACAAAAAGCATTCTATGACAAGTGACAACTAAATTAATATTTCCAACTTAAATTAGCGAATGATTACCCACTCCTTGAGTTGGGGCAGGATTATTGTAGTTTTATGGCCCTACAATTACGTGTTGAAAACTCTTATGACCGAAATAAGTCTTTGCGAGGCTCAGAGAAAAAGACTACTGACTAAAACAACGTGTTGTTTTTTATATATTTTTTCTTCTCAATAGAATTTTTTTTTTTTGGTTAAATCCTCCTTTTTATGACAGATTTTTTTTTGTTTCTGTTGATTAAAATAACATTACATATCACGTATTAAAGAAAGGTGTAGTCACCTCAACATGATAGTAGGAACAAGTATTGAAAAGGTTGAGTAGAACTCAACTCCAAAAACTAGTTCAAAAGAGAAGAGCCTGTGTAGGGGAACAATCTAGTTGATAAAGTGGGCGTGTAGGAGAGAGCCACTTATGGCGATGTGGGATCAAATCAACTTTACACTTTAGTTGGACCCCACTTGACTGTGTAAAATAAGCAATATAAAAGGAAGGAAGAAAATGCAGAGGATGTGTGTATATTTAACTTCATGTTTTCATTTTCCCATATCCAAAATTTGCTTTTGCTCTTCTTGGAAAGAAAAAGATGTGGGGATATTTTGGCTATACAGTCCTCTGCCTCTTCTCTTGCTCTTCCATCTTCAAGTTATTTCTTCATCCTCTTTTAACTCTTCTTCTCCATTACAGAAACTGCTGCTCCCTGACAAGCCTGCCCTCTCCGTTTCAGAACACTTTACCATAATGAGTATTCAAGTTCTTCTAAGCAGATTCCTGAAGGAAAGAGGGTAGTGATTGCGTGCACTTGGGGGTGGGGTTTCTTGTGATAGGTCACCGGTCATGTGATTGGACTGACTAAGTTCTGTGGCTTATTGGTCCTATCAACGACAGTAGAGCCTCTTCAACCTGCACCATCCAGAGCTCAACTAGCTGACAATATTTCGATCCATCCCATCATCCACCAATCCCCAGTTTGGTCAGTTCCCAAATTGACACATCTGAACCTTTCTTCATCCAATTTCTATGGCCTGTTCCAACCGAAATCTTTCACTTATCTAAGCTTGTTTTGCTTCACCTTTCTCTGACTTTGATTATCTGAAACTGCGTCAAACAGGTTTTAAAAACCTCTTGCAAAACCTGCAGAACTAAGTATCTTATCTGGAGAATGTCGACTGTCTTCTGTTGCAGTTGGTTCTTTTGTAAACCTGTCTTCTTCTTTGATTCTGAGTCTTCAGAGTAATTACATGCAAGGCAAGTTTCCAAATGATCTTTTCGATTTCCATTTCCAACTGTCAGATTGTATCAATCAAAAACAACGCGGTTAATTTGCCAAATTTCAACAGGAGCAATCTCTTAAATTATTGGATCTCTCTCCACAAACTTTTCAGGGAAATTACCCGACAACATCGGCAATCTGATGACTGACATGATCATTTGCGTCTAGTGGATGCAAATTCGAGGGTCAATTCCGCCGTCACTTGAAAAACTTACTGAATCACTTTTTGGATCTACATTCAAACAGTTTTACTGGTCAAATACCAACATCAATATCTAAACTTGGCCAATCACCCATCATCTTGTCTTCGAGACAACAAATTTTCTGGGTCATTTCCACGTCACGAAAACCTTACTGAAATCTTTTTGGATTGTCATCCAACGGTTTAATGGTCAAATACCACATGGATATTAAACTTGGCCAGCTCAATGAACTCATCTTGGAGACAAAATTTCTGTTTTCATCCTCCCTCACTCGAAAACCTTACTGAATAATCTATTTGGGTCTGTCATCCAACGGTTTTACTGGTCAAATACCAACATGGATATCTAAACTTGGCCAGCTCACTGAACTTCATCTTGAGACAATAAATTTCTGGGTCATTTCCTGTCACTCGAAAACCTTACTGAAATCATTTATTTGCGTCTGTCATCCAACGGTTTTACTGGTCAAATACCAACATCAATATCTAAACTTGCAGCTCACTCATCTTTATCTTGGAGACAACAATTTTTTCGGGTCATCCTCCGTCACTTGAAAACCTTACTAAAATCATTTTTTGGATCGTCATCAACGGTTTTACTTGTCAAATACCAACATCATATTTAAACTTGGCCAGCTCATTTTTTGGATTTGTTCCACAAATTTAATAGGAGTCATCGCCCCATTTTGCAATTTGATCTATATTTGTATATTGACTTATCAAATAACAATTTTAGTGGAAAAATTCCACCGTGTTTCGGAACTTTAGTAAGCGCCTCATTTCTGAATTTGGAGGTGAACAATTTCCATGGAGTAGTTGGATCTCTAACATTTCCAACTCCCAGTAGTTGACGGCTCTATGCTTAATGGCAATCAATTGGAGGGACCATTACCTCCATCTTTGATTATGTAACCTTTTGAAAATCCTAGATGTGGGGAATAACATGATTAATGATACCTTCCTCACTCTCTAGAAGATTTGAAAAATTCGTGTTATATTTGAGATCTAATCGATTTCATGGTCCCATAACAATTCCAGTGCAACATTTCCTTCCCTGGTTTGGAGAATACTCGACCTTTCCCACAATCAATTTACGGTCCTGCCAGTAAATTATTTAACAATTTTGGGCTATGATGCCTTCGTCCATGGATGAATGATAGTCTGTATATGGAGTATCTTGTGGCAAATATTATTCAGTAACTTTGTCAATCAAAGGAGTTGAAATGGAAATGGACAGGATTCTAACCATCTCACAGCAATAGATTTGCCGACAACCTTTGAAGGACCAATTCCAGAGGGGATTGGAAAGCTACAGTTACTCAAACTGCTCATTCTTCACAATAGCTTAACGGTGATACCATCGTCATTGGCAAATTTGACACAACTTGAAGCATTAGATCTCTCTTACAACAAGCTCGTTGGAAATATTCCAATGCAATTGAAAAGTCTAACATTTCTTTCAGTGCTAACTTGTCATACAATCAGTTTGTGGGACCTATACCTCAAGGAAAGCAATTTGATGATTTCCAAACGATTCCTTTATTGGAAACTTGGGTTGTGTGGATCAACGTTGTCAAAAAAAGCAGCAATGATACGGCACCAAGCCATCACCATCATGGTCCTTGAAGAGAAAACAATGCTTCAAGCTGGTTTGATGGAAAATTGCCTTGATGGGATACGGAGTGGATTGGTACTTGGCATATTAGGTGTACATGTGTTCTCAACAGGTAAACCACAAGGTTGTGAGATGATTGAGAGATTGAAGTAGGTGGTCCGAAAAGGTGAGAAGTCGAATAGGGAAGTAGAGGAAGAAGAAATTAGCATCTGAAAGTTGCTCTTCAATTTTGTAAGTGCTCTAATCCCTCGTAGCTATAAATTGGTTTTCTTCCTGACAGCTTTATCATAATGAACAGGCTAGAAAAGAGTCCTTGAATTCATATTTAATCCAACAATTTTTGAGATATCACACTTTGTTTTCTTCTCAGACGACTTGGAAGAGTTGATAACATGGAAGAGTTAGTTTGGGAGCTGGAAAGCTGTATAGTCTGTCTCTGAGTAATCTTCAATCTTGTATTTAAATTTCCGTGTGAGATTGAGAATTAGAATTGCCATAACTATAGTATGCAAGATATGTTAATTTCGAAGAATTCCAATTCAATAAAGTTCTAATGTTCCCTCTCAGCTGGATCATTGAAAAATCAACTATTTGTACTGCCTACTGACAATTTCGGAAAATGGGTACTGGAATACCTTTCCCCAAGTATTGTTACTGTTTAAAGTGTACTTTATAATTCACATAGCATGTTTCAAGAGCCAACAAGATGGAGTTTGTTTCCAGTGTTCAGTAGGTCTTTTAAAGGCCAGGGCTGTAGCGGAACTTTCCAAGTCCTTGCATTCTAAGAAGAACAGTTTATGAAGATATTGTTCATTTGGGCCTACGCAGGCCCGATGGTTTCATTTTGGGTTTCATCCAAAAAGTTTATCTAGCTTTGTTCCACCAATGGGGAATCAGCAGCTAAGTTTGTCTAGAAACGGAGGTCTCATAGGCAATTTACCAGAGTCTAACTGGAGCAGTCCCTTGAGGTTGTTAGATCAATCTTTAACAAAATTTTCAGGAATATTACCTGAAACAATCGGAGATCTTATACACTTGAATGTGTTAGATCTTTCTTATTGCAAATTCACGGATTCAATTCCAAGATCACTTTGGAACCTCACAGGTATCACCATTTTGGATTTGACATTCAACAATTTTACTGGCCAAGTCCCTACATTGGTATCTAACCTCAGGAAGCTCACTCGTCTATCATTTGCACACAACAGTTTTTCCGGACAATTTCCAGATGTTTTGGGCAACCTCAGCAAAGTGATTGAAATATATCTCTTTGATAACAATTTTAGTGGTCAACTGCCATTATCAGCATTCAATCTCACTCAGGTTTCTCATTTACACTTTTCACACAATGAATTTGTGGGTCATCTTCCTTATCAAGTAAGTGGCCATTCATCTCTATCCATTCTCAAATTATCTAATAATTTTCTGATTGGAAGAGTGCCGTCTTGGTTGTTTATTTTGCCATCTTTGCAATATTTAGACCTTAGAAACAACAAGTTCACTGGTCCAATTCCGAATCCCATATTTCAACCTTTGAATCTTTCTTTACTTGATCTTTCATCAAATAACCTCACTGGCATTGTTAGGTCTGAATTCTTTTCAAAGTTCAAAAACCTGGAAGTTATGGATCTTTCAAATAACAGTCTACTGTCACTAAGAACCCAAACCAACGTCAACTCTATGTTGCCCAGGCTCAAAGTTTTCGGATTCTCTTCCTGCAACATAACCGAATTCCCTGTTTTCCTGAGAACCTCAACAGAATTGATGATTTTAGACCTTTCCTATAACAAAATTTCTGGTAGAATTTCCCAACGGGAGACAGGGTCGTGGTACAAATTGCAATATCTGGATCTTTCTCACAATTTGTTGACAAATTTTCAGTATAGATCGGCAAAGCATCTAAAATTTCTTGATCTTCATTCCAACTTGCTTCAAGGACCCCTTTTGCTTCTACCACCTTCCAGGAAATGCTTCTCAGTTTCAAACAATAAATTGACAGGAGAGACCGCTTCATTGCCTTGTAGTTTGGGCACTATTGAGCATCTGAACTTGAGTAGGAGTCCACAATGTCTTGGAAACCATGACAAGATCTTCCTACTGGATCTTACGATGAACAGTGCTTTGACAACTCTCAACTTAAATGCCAATCAGTTGGAGGGAACATTGCCACAATCTTTGGCTAAATGTAACAGCTTGGAAGTTCTAGACGTCGGAAATAACAGGATTAATGATACATTTCCTTACTGGTTAGCCACTCTTCCAAAACTACAAGTTCTTATGTTGAGATCGAATAGTTTTCACGGTCCCATTCGCAATTTGAATACAAGATGTCCATTCCCAATGTTGCGAATACTTGATCTTTCTCATAATAGATTCATTGGCAATTTGCCAACATCATATCTTAAAAAATTTAAGGCTATGATGAACAGGGATAATAGCAGTGGGGCAGCGCAATACATGGGCTCACATGGTCAATATTATTCTACAGTTTTGACAGTGAAAGGAATTGATGTTGAAATGGTGAGAATCCTAACCATTTTAACGATTATTGATTTGTCAAACAACCAATTCCAGGGACGAATACCAGATATTGTTGGAAAGCTTAATTCACTCTTTTTTCTCAATTTTTCTCACAATTCCTTAACCGGTCATATTCCATCATCATTTGGAAATTTGTTGGAGCTTGAAGCTTTAGATCTCTCTTCTAACAAGCTTGTAGGAGAGATCCCTAGAGAATTGACAAATCTCACATTTCTTTCAATGTTAAATCTTTCAGACAACCAACTTGAGGGATCTATACCTCAAGGAAAGCAATTTGATACATTTCAAAATGATTCTTATTTAGGAGGAAACTTGGGGTTGTGTGGATTACCATTGTCAAAAAAATGTGTCATGAATGAAGTGCCTAAACCAATTTTGGTCTCGAAAGAACACAATGTCTTGAACAGGTTTGACTGGAAAATCAGTTTGATGGGATATGGATGTGGATTGGTGCTCGGCTTGTCTATGGGATATATTGTATTCTCAACAGGAAAACCACAGTGGTTTGTAAGGATGGTTGAAAGAGACCGACCCAAGAAAGCTAGGAGGCCAAACAGAAGATATGGATACAGAAGATAAAGAAACTGGTAACTGAATTGCTTGTCCAAGTTAATTTGGTGAGTGCTCCAATCTTCTTTATATAGAATAACTTCAAATGCATATATATTTTTTTTCCAACTAAGTTTGAGATATGATGGTACACATAACTTACATACTGAATTGTTAAACTCCCCTTCCTGTTCACTTTTCAGATTTTACTTGTCGAGCTGAAATTCGCATCTGTCCTGGGTGATAGGATCTGGCAATTCACAAACTGGTCATGTCAGTCATACATATAGCAATTCCATTTCATTGATCAGCATTATGCCAATTGGAATTCAAGTCATGGAAGCAGAAGATGCTTAATCTGTGAAATATTTAGACTTTCATATATATTTTGTTATCCCATCAGAGATTGATTAATTAATGTTCAAAAAAAGGCTTTGATTAAGCTGAGTTTCTGTTTGTTTGTAGATTTTGAATTTTAATTTGAGATTAAGAAATAGTGCGGAAACTTAAATACCTTCATGGCCAGTCTTTTGAATGCTAGATATGGAATAACAGTGACCGTATATATATTCATGAAATAAATCCGAGCGGTTCAGGTGGGCAATGGGTTAATTTAATAGCTGTCTTGAATCTCTTGAAATCAAAGCAAGTGGGAACTCGGTTGTAACTGTTGGCATATATTTCCAAGTTACTTAATCTTCTTTTTTCTAACGCCCCCAATCAGCTGCATTAACTACGGGGTCAAGTCTTTGTCGCAGAAGACCCAGACTTTCATCTTCTGATAATAACAAAAAGTCCTGCTATCTCAACCCAAACTAAACGGATAATCTTTCTGCGACTTTAGTCTTGACAGGTATTTTGCACCCGAAAATGTCACAGCTCTTCCTACATTTTCTTGGAAGTAATAGAAGACCAGGAGGATGTAACTTACCCAACCCGGCCCCAATAAAAGCAGGTCCCATGGTGGTCGACCTCATGGAACATTTTGCCCCAAGAGAGGCGTTTACTTGACAAAAAGCATTCTATGACAAGTGACAACTAAATTAATATTTCCAACTTAAATATAGCGAATGTATACCCACTCCTTGAGTTGGGGCAGGATTATTGTAGTTTTATGGCCCTACAATTACGTGTTGAAAACTCTTAGTTGACCGAAATAAGTCTTTGCCGTCAGGCTCAGAGAAAAAGACTACTGACTAAAAACAACGTGTTGTTTTTTATATATTTTTTCTTCTCAAATTAGAATTTTTTTTTTTTTGGTTAAATCCTCCTTTTTATGACAGATTTTTTTTTGTTCTGTTGATTACAAATAACTTACATTACCGTATTAAAGAAAGGTGATAGTCACTCACCATGTAGTAGGCAACAAGCTTATTGATAAAATGGATTTGAGTAGAACTCAACTCCAAAAACTAGTTCAAAAGAGAAGAGAGCCCTGTGTAGTAGGGAACAATCTAGTTGATAAAGTGGGCGTGTAGGAGAGAGCCCACTTATGGCGATGTGGGATAAATTCAACTTTAACTACTTTAGTTGGACCCCACTTGCATGTGTAAAATAAATGCATAAAAGGAAGGAAGAAAATGCAGAGGATGTGTGTATATATATCTACATGTTCATATTCATTTTCCCATATCCAAAATTTGCTTTTGCTCTTCTTGGAAAGAAAAAGATGTGGGGATTATTTTGGCATTATCTAGTCCTCTGCCTCTTCTTCTTGCTCTTCCATCTTCAAGTTATTTCTTCATCCTCTTTTAACTCTTCTTCTCCATTACAGAAACTCTGCTCTCCTGAACAAAGCTCTGCCCTTCTCCGTTTCAAGAACACTTTTACCATTAATGAGTATTCAAGTTCTTCTAAGACAGATTCCTGGAAAGAGGGTAGTGATTGCTGCACTTGGGATGGGGTTACTTGTGATAGGTTCACCGGTCATGTGATTGGACTTGACTTAAGTTCTTGTGGACTTATTGGTCCTATCAACGACAGTAGCAGCCTCTTCAACCTGCACCATCTCCAGAAGCTCAATCTAGCTGACAATATTTTCGATCCATCCACCATCTCACCCAAGTTTGGTCAGTTCACCAAATTGACACATCTTAACCTTTCTTCATCCAATTTCTATGGCCTAGTTCCAACCGAAATCTTTCACTTATCTAAGCTTGTTTTGCTTCACCTTTCTTCTGACTTTGATTATCTGAAACTGCGTCAACAAGGTTTTAAAAACCTCTTGCAAAACCTGACAGAACTAAGATATCTTCATCTGGAGAATGTCGACATGTCTTCTGTTGCAGTTGGTTCTTTTGTAAACCTGTCTTCTTCTTTGATATCTCTGAGTCTTCAGAGTAATTACATGCAAGGCAAGTTTCCAAATGATCTTTTCCGATTTCCATTTCTCCAACTGCTCAGATTGTCTGACAATCAAAACATAACGGTTAATTTGCCAAATTTCAACAGGAGCAATCCTCTTAAATTATTGGATCTCTCTTCCACAAACTTTTCAGGGAAATTACCCGACACAATCGGCAATCTGATGCACTTGAATCATTTGCGTCTAAGTGGATGCAAATTCCGAAGGGTCAATTCCGCCGTCACTTGAAAACTTACTGAAATCACTTTTTTGGATCTATCATTCAACAGTTTTACTGGTCAAATACCAACATCAATCTAAACTTGGCCACCTCACTCACTTGTCTTCGAGACAACAAATTTTCTGGGTCATTTCCACCGTCACTTGAAACCTTACTGAAATCACTTTTTTGGATCTGTCATCCAACGGTTTTACTGGTCAAATACCAACATGGATATCTAAACTTGGCCAGCTCACTGACTTCATCTTGGAGACAATAAATTTTCTGGGTCATTTCCTCCATCACTCGAAAACCTTACTGATCATCTATTTGGGTCTGTCATCCAACGGTTTACTGGTCAAATACCAACATGGATATCTAAACTTGGCCAGCTCACTGAACTTCATCTTGGAGACAATAAATTTTCTGGGTCATTTCCTCCGTCACTCGAAAACCTTACTGAAATCATTATTTGCGTCTGTCATCCAACGGTTTTACTGGTCAAATACCAACATCAATATCTAAACTTGGCCAGCTCACTCATCTTTATCTTGGAGACAACAATTTTTCTGGGTCAATTCCTCCGTCACTTGAAAACCTTACTAAAATCATTTTTTGGATCTGTCATCCAACGGTTTTACTTGTCAAATACCAACATCAATATTTAAACTTGGCCAGCTCAATTTTTTGGATTTGTCATCCAACAATTTAATAGGAGTCATCCGCCCTTCATTTTGCAATTTGATCTATATTTGTATATGACTTATCAATAACAATTTAGTGGAAAAATTCCACGTGTTTCGGAAACTTTAGTACGCGCCTCTATTTCCTGAATTTGGAGGTGAACAATTTCCATGGTAGCCTGGATCTCTAAACTTCCAACTCCCAGTAGTTTGACGGCTCTTATGCTTAATGGCAATCATTGGAGGGACCATTACCCATCTTTGATTAATGTAACCTTTTGAAAATCCTAGATGTGGGGAATAACATGATTAATGATACCTTCCCCACTCTCTAGAAATCTTAAAACCTTCGTGTATTATTTTGAGATCTAATCGATTTCATGGTCCCATTACAATTCCAGTGCAACATTTCCCTTCCCTGGTTTGAGAATACTCGACCTTTCCCACATCAATTTACTGGTCCTTTGCCAGTAAATTATTTTAACATTTTGTGGCTATGATGCCTTCGTCCATGGATGATATTGAAGTCATGTATATGGAGTATCTTGATGGCAAATATTTCAGTAACTTTGTCATCAAAGGAGTTGAAATGGAAATGGACAGGATTCTAACCATTCTCACAGCAATAGATTTGTCCGACAACCTGTTTGAAGGACAATTCCAGAGTGATGTTGGAAAGCTACAGTTACTCAACTGCTCAACTTCTCTCACAATAGCTAACTGGTGATATACCATCGCATTGGCAAATTTGACACAACTTGAGCATTAGATCTCTCTTACACAAGCTCGTTGGAAATATTCCAATGCAATTGACAAGTCTAACATTTCTTTCAGTGCTAAACTTGTCATACAATCAGTTTGTGGGACCTATACCTCAAGGAAAGCAATTTGATGCATTTCCAACATTCCTTTATTGGAAACTTGGGTTTGTGTGGATCAACGTTGTCAAAAAAATGCAGCAATGAACGGCACCAAGTCCATCACCATCAATGGTCCTTGAAGAAAACAATGCTTCAAGCTGGTTTGTGGAAAATTGCCTTATGGGATACGGATGGGATTGGTACTTGGCATATCTATTGGTACATTGTGTTCTCAACAGGTAAACCACAATGGTTTGTGAGATTGATTGAAAGAGAGGTGGTCCAAAAGGTGAGAAGTCTGAATAGGGGAAGTAGAGGAAGAAGAAATTAGCATCTGAAAGTTGCTCTTCAATTTTGTAAGTGCTCTAATCTCTTGTAGCTATAATTGTGTTTTCTTCTTCCTGACAGCTTTCATAATGAACACGCTAGAAAAGAGTCCTTGAATTCATATTTAATCCAACAATTTTGGAGATTATCACACTTTGTTTTTCTTCTCAGACGACTTGGAAGAGTTGTAACATGGAAGAGTAGTATTTGGGAGCTGGATAAGCTGCTATAGTCTGTCTCTGAGTAATCTTCAATCTTCTGTATTCTAAATTTCCGTGTGAGATTGAGAATTAGAATTGCCATAACTATGTATGCAAGATATGTTAATTTCGAAGAATTCCAATTCAATAAAGTTCTTAATGTTCCCTCTCTAGCCTTGGATCATTGAAAACTCAACTTATTGTATGCCTACTGCAAATTTCGGAAAATGGGTACTGGAATACCTTTCCCCCAAGTATTGTTACTGTTTAAAGATGTCTTTAAATTCACATAGCATGTTTCAAGAGCCACAAGATGGAGTTTGTTTTCCAGGTGTCAGTAGGTCTTTTAAAGGCCAGGGCTGTAGCGGAACTTTCCAAGTCCTGTGCATTCTAAGAAATCAGTTATATGAAGATATTGTTCATTTTGGGCCTACGCAGGCCCGTTGGTTTCATTTTGGGTTTCATCCAACAAGTTTATCTAGCTTTGTTCCACAATTGACGACTGACTTCAAGTATTTTATCATGAAGGTTGTTTCGTCAACCTTTCCTTTAATACAGAGGACTTTCCTCACTTGTACTAGTGCCTTTTCCATAACTTTTTTCATTTTTCAAGATTAAACATTATGCCGCACAAGCAACGGAAGCCACTAATGGTTCATTACCCTACTATTCAGTCGTCATTTTGAAGGAAGGAACATCTCAGCTGTCACTGTTAGGAGATCGATAGCAAAAAAAAACATACACTTGAGATTAATACATAGGAATAAAATCACACACACACAAAAAGATACAACTTTATGTGGTTCAGTATAACCAGTCTACATCCATACACATGAATTACAAGAGTCACAAATATCATAAACTCATACATAATTAATAGAACAGAAACAATCTCAGTTTTTAAGACACTCTACCCATGATGTTTAATAACCCTTACTCAAATACTTTGTATTCTCATATTATCTCATAACTTTAAATTGGTTCTCACTTTTATATTATAGGTAAGATATAAGATATTCCATTTGTAATAGAATTCATATTTAAATTCTAATATTTCTAAATTATACTCTTATTTTAATTGTATCTTTATTGAATAGTTTTCTAAAAACATATAATTTCACATGAGAACAAGCACGAAAGTTAGCCACAATATCCCAATAATAACACCCAACTTGACATACAGTAAATGTACCACCCCTAACTTCAACTTAGCCTACAATTATTGATACTTAACAAAAAAACTCCCAGATAAAAAACTTATTAAGAACTGCAATTTTAAAACCTTACAAATTATACCACTCCAAAACCTTAAAGTTTAAACACAAATGAACTAAATCCAGCAAGAAATTAACCTAATTTGGCCGCAATTAAGTCCCTACGGAGAATATTACAGTACTGAATAAGGTCATAGCTCAATTGATATTACCTCCGCACCATTAAATTGTTTACTCTTATATTCCCTTATACATTATTTCTTATTACACAAATTACACGCTTTATATCGGCTTGTGGCCAAATGGCAAGCCCTTTAGCCACTGGGTTAGCAATCTCAAGCTTTATATTCGAGTAGGAGAGGCACCTATTACAATTGTGCAATTTTCTTGGTTCATTGGCTTGTAAATTGTTCCATAGCCTTGAGGATTAGGCGAGCTCGACCGCAAGTGTACTCGGATACCTTAGTTATTAAAAAAATAACAAATAAAATAAATAAGTTACATCGCTTCTATCTCTTATTTATTGATATCTTCTAGACCACATTAAATATTTAGTACAAGCCACAACATGTACTGCTGAAGCAAACTATATGCAGATCTATAACAGCATATAATTTCTCCAATTAGCAGGAGACACAGGATGATAAGGAACTGGAACTAATTCAAGGTCCTTTTTTCTTCGCACTGCGAGACCAAAACCCTCACTCATGTCAAGATCTTCTAGCTTTTCTCCACTGGGAAGTTTCCAACCAAAATATATAGCAACTGGCCAATGGAAGCTCCACATTGGCTACACCCATTGTTATGCCAGACAAACTCTCCTTCCAGCTCCAAATGGGATGAATTCAAAATGAGCCCCCTTGTAATCAATTGAACTGTCTAGAAATCTCTCAGGATAGTACTTCCAGCTTGGCTCCAATGATTGGTATCCCTCCCTATTGCCCTGCATTTACCAAAACTTTAGTCTTGACAGGTATTTCGTATCCGAAATCTCACATCTTCCTACATTCCCTTGGAAGTAGCAACGGAGCAGCGGGGTGTAATCTCATAGATTCTTGATTGCTGCCTTCAAATAATTCAATCATGAAGCCCTTCTTCATCAACTTTCCTTTCATACGGAACACATTCCTCACCTCTGCTTGTGCTTCTCCATGGCTCTTGGATTTTTTAGCAATTCTGACATTGCCCATTCTACAGTTGTAGAAGATGTATCACTCCCAGCAGTAAACGTCCTAAAATAGCAGAGTAGATATTTTAGCAAAGATTTACTAAATATCAGTTTGAACTTAAGCTGAATCTGATACGAATAAAAGATAATTAAACATACTAACCACGATGACTGCTTTGATGTTGTCATTACTTAAGGTGAATCATGGTCTCCATTATTCTGCAAGTTCAAAAGAACGTCTAAGAAATCTTTATGATCATCATCCCCTTCACGCTCTATTTGTCTTCCTTGTTGCCCTTCTACTTTTATGCTCACGATAATGGCGTCAAACAATCTATCAACTCTGTCATGAATCTCCTTAATTTTACTCTTTACCCCACTGATTGAGTCAATAAATTCGAAGGAAGGAAACACATCAGCCGCAGTGAAACCTCCTGCCAGATCTATACCTTCTTGAATGCACATAAGAATGCCTCTTGATCTTTCATTTTTCCTCCAAACGCCGCTCTCGTCGTGATTCCAAACGTCATCGAAAAGATTTCTCTGCTAAGATTAATCGTTCCTCCGCCCTTGAAGA